GTGAAGAGGGAGCAATCCCCCCCCACCCCCCATTTGAAAACCTTGGCCTTCAGGGCTAATTCTGCTTTTCATCAGTTGTAAGGTTCACTCCCTCCACCCCCACCCCAAGCCCCCACCAGTGCTGCTGAAATACCTCCTCTCAAGATATCAGAACTGATGGGATCATGTGTGGGGATTTTTCTGAACATAGTAAATGATTATGTGTCTGAAAAGTGGGCTTCCTAAGATTGCTTGTACAGTGTTACTGAGAAAAACAAAGGAAATGATGTGTGCAAATTGATCAGAACAATTGCTGGGCTATACAGACGCTTGGGAGACTACAATTAAGCTCCAATGAATGTCTAGAATGACAAAAGGGAGTATGAAGAACTGGAGCTCAGGGGTGTAAGCATCTCTCTGGCATCAGCAGGTGCCTAGCATTCCTTCATTAGATGGAGCATTAGCACGTTTCTGGGTACTCTGCGGCAAGGTGGCGTCTGTCCATCCAGGGAGCAGAGTTAACAAAGGCTCTGGACTGACATAAATGAGCTTCTTATTGGCCCATTAGTCAGTTTCCCTTTTGAGCACGGCCTCCCATAGTCCCCTGTGCTGTGACTAACCAGGCCCAGGAAGGCGGCTCCAGACAGAGACACTGAGGAAGACAGCCTGAAGCAGCAGCGTTTGCCTAGTGCCTACTCCAAACCCAGGTAAGCTCAGCTCATCTGCCCCACACAAATCAAATTTAGTTCCCGTCAAGCCTATCTTTCCTAAGTCCCTGCAACATGCCAGGAACATGTGGAAACTGAGGAGCTCTATGTGAAGATGGTTTGACCCCTGCCCCAAAGCCCTCAGAGGCTTGCAGAGAGACACAGAAGGCCGCACTGCTCTGCAAACCACATGGGGGACACGTGATCAAAACTACGGGGTGCTGTGGGAGGGGGGGCATGGTGGGGTAGGGTGCGGTGCGGTTTGAATGTAAATACTCCCCATGTTTAAATGTTTGGATACTTGGTCCCCAGCTGATGGCACTATCTGGGAAGGTAGAGCTCAGCCTGGTTGGAACTCATGATTTCACATGCAAAGCACAACAGGATGGGGGCAGGGCAGGCAACCCAGAGGGAGGGCAAAGCACCAGTGGGAATGTGAAGGATGAGTTATCATGGCCTGGTAACATCAGAGGGAAGGAAGGTGTGAGACTAGACGAGGCAGCTGTGGAGGCGAATGCCTATAATCCCAGCACTTGGGAGGCCAAGGCAGGACGATTGCAAATTCAAGCCTAGCCTAGGCTATATAGTAAAATCCCCTCTCAAAAAAAAAAACAAAAACAAAAACAAAAAACAAAAAAAACCAAAAAACTAAAAACAAAGGCAGAGAAGCAATTCTGGGTGATTGGGGTTCTGGGGTTCTGGGGTACAGATGGAACAGTGGCATGCAAACCTGGAAGGGAAGGAGGGCTGGGCAGAGGATGGTCTAGGGTACAGAGGACCACTGACAGCTGACTCCTGGTCTCACGGCAAGGCCACAGGCCTGGTCACAGTGTATATGACCCACAGTCATCAGCTGATAGAGAGAGGCCTGGCCAAGGCCTGTGTTCCCACAGACCAATACCGCATCTCTAAAGACAGCTCCCCCAAAAAGCCTCACCAACTACAGAGTGTCCTCCAGCTCTGCTGACTCTTCCAGACAGAGGACCCAGGACTGAGCTGAGCCAGGAAGACTAATCGGAAAAGACTTTACCCAGAACCAGGAGGTACCTGGGAAGCTGATGTGAGACTGGGTCTGCGCATTGTAGGCACAAGGACCTCATCAATGGTGCTTAAGTCTCAAGTCCTTCACAGGGCTGATGGGATTGACTTCCCTCTGCCACAGAAGTCCAGGCTGCTCCTTTTACTAGCCTTCAGTGCCTGGGACAATCCCAAACCTCCTGGGGAATTGTGAGTTGGCCCACAGTGTGGGCTGAACACTTGGATGTGTTTGAACATCAGACTGAGCCAACTAGAATTACATAAGAAGCAGAAGCTTGGGAGAGATAAGGTGGCAAACGGAGGGATGTTTTTAAGAAAGGAGGTAGTCAAGCAGATGGCACTGGAAATAGATCACTGTTGAAACAGTGAAAGGAGGTGGGGGGAGCTACAGTTTGTTGGTAGGTTTTATTTGTAGGCCTTTTTCTTTTCCTATAGCAAAGGAAAACACAGGCCACGTTTCCCCGCGCCATGTAACCAACATAAATCTTAAGCAACTCCCACGAGAGAGAATGCAGTCTGCTGTATTCGAGTTGGTCCTTAAATATTTCTTCAGGACTGTGTTCCCTGTCTGTATTAATAACCAAGTTTCCTGGGGGTAGAGCTGCCCCCAGGCTCCCTTGGGCTGGGCTATTCATCATGGCAGCAGCTGGAGATAAGCTGGACACAAAGACTTGAGTCTCAAGAGGGTCAGTCCCTAGATACGGAAAGTGGAGGAATTTTCTCATTAGTAGGAAGTCTGTGGTGGGAAGTCTGGGCTTTCATCATGTGTCCCTGGTGCAAATGGCAGCCGGGAGGAAGGCTCACTGGAGGGGTAAAGACCTCCACAGGGCTTTCACTGGACAATGGGAAGCTTCCAAAGTGAGCTTTTCTTGGGAGATGAAAAAGCAGACGTGCCCCTTGTACTTAGGGGGGTAGTGAGTCTGCCCACAGAAGCCACCTGTACTTGTTCCTACCCCCAGGAGAGCCATGGTGGGGTGCTTCACATGAGGCACTCTAAACCTGGGAGGGCCTTGTGGGAAGCACTGCTGAGTGACCTCAGGGACCCTGAGGACCAAAATCTCAGAGACAATCATTATGACCAGGCTGGGCTGGGAAACTCAGAGGCATGGGGTGGCAGGGAATGAAGAGACAATAACATACCTCAGAGGGATGTCAAAATTGGTGAGCAAATGGACCAAGAAGGAATTCCCTGAGTTTGGGACAGCCTCCTGGGCTGTTTAGAAGTGCTAATTCCATTCCATTTGAACATCAGCTGGGGTTCCCCACCAGCTTCTCACAGACCCTAGGAACAAAGGAGAGTTGTTAACAGCCTCCAGGAGACTGTCAATGTCCCTAGCAATTGCTGTAAACCCAGAGGAAATGGACATTCTTACAGTCGAAATTAACTGGCCTGTTTTGGGTGGTACTGCCATGCTCTTAGACACTGTGTTAACATAATATCTCCAGGGAAGGCATGGCATCCTCATCCACTGGCAACAGAGATGACCCAGTATCACTTGCCTCCAGTGTCTGGATAAAAATGCAGTTTAGGCCGGGCGGTGGTGGCGCACGCCTTTAATCCCAGCACTCGGGAGGCAGAGCCAGGCGGATCTCTGTGAGTTCGAGGCCAGCCTGGGCTACCAAGTGAGTTCCAGGAAAGGCGCAAAGCTACACAGAGAAACCCTGTCTCGAAAAAACAAACAAACAAACAAAATGCAGTTTAGTTTCTGGACCAGTGGTTCAGCTTAGAAGACAGCATTGAAAAAGTGTCATGTGCACACCCATTTCTACACTTAAAAATTTCCCTAAAATCTTTTTTCATAACCATTTCTGCATATTTGACTGTAGGCAAAAAACAAAACCAACCAACCAAAAAAACCAAAACCAACTTTGCACAGTGGTGGGAAAGGAGGGCATGTAATAGGCACATTTCACACCTGAATTGATGACAGAAGCAGATCCCCCAAACCATCCAATGGGAGAGTTTGCCTAAAGAATGGTCACCAGAGCACACACTTAAAGAAAAATGTTGCTATTGTAAGTATTTTCAATGCATTTTCCCATGCATGGAATACTGCTCGGTCGGGTTTTGTATTTCTCCTGCTTTCTTGGAATAATATAGCTGTGCCCCACAGTGGGGCAAGCAAGCTAGCTTAGAAAGCCCAGTTTTTCTCTTCTTTGCTACCTCTGGGAAAACACAATGAGATGCAGAAAAGGTCAGAGCCTTCACCCAACGTTGAGATGTTCCTGACACAGAACAAGGGAACCTCTACATGCTGGACTATAGACTCCAAACCCAGTTGAGTCAAGGCAGCAAATGAAAGGTCTAGACAGAAAGGCCCCTATCTTCCCCTCTGGCCATGTGAGTGGCTTGTGTGAACACTGTAGAAGCCCCGTTCCCTCTCTACCTTCTTCCTTTTGAGGAAGTCAAAGGCCTGACTAATTCTCTAGAACAATGGTTCCCAACCTTCCTAATGCTACAACGCTCTAATAAAGTTCCTCATGTTGTAGTGACCCCCAACCGTAACATAATTTTGCTACTGTTATGACTCATAATATAGATATCTGTATTTTCTGATGGTCTTAGGTGACACCTTGTGAAAGGGCTGTTCAACCTCAAAGGAGTCACAACCCACAGGTTGAGAAGTGCTGTTCTAGAGCATTACGCCTCTGGACCCTGAGCTCTGACAGCAGTAACAGCAAAGGGACTCCACACCAGCTCTTGTTCATGACATCAAGGACTGTTCCAGTCCAGAGCAGCAATGGGAGAGCAATTTCCCAAAAGTTGTCAGCTTTGAGTATTTTTCTGGTAGCTGCTGATGCTAACTCCCTATGAGGGAGCTGCTCTGGTCCCTGCGGGAAATTTTTAAGTGGACACATGAGCATGTTGTTCCATCCCTTTGTGATGGAAGCAGACTGTGGACCCTGGGGTAAGAAAGATCTTCATTCGGAAGGAGTCAGTGGGCATGTGTGTTTCCTTACAGCTTCCCAAGGAGGGCTGGACATGTACACATCATGTTGATGGTCCAGAAAGTCATAGATGGAGACCCTCACAGCAGTCAGCTAGTTGTGGCATAAAAGATGGTCCATCCTAACTCATCCTTACTACTCTAATAGTGTCAAGCTGGAGGTTTGTTTGCAGGGGCCCTCTTCCTCATCTCTTCCAGCTCCCTCATTCTCCAGTCTTACAGGTTTGCAAAGCAAAATGCCATAGCTCTGCACCTACCCAGGGAGCCTCCAGGAGCCCAGAACTCCAGAATTTTCCACCAGTCAGGAAGAAAAAAGACAAGCCAGCAAAACAATTATCATTTTATTATGCAATTTCCTTCTACAAGAAAAAATCTCTAAAAATATAAATACGAACTCTCTAAAAAATACTCAGAATAGAACTATAATCTTGTTCTTTCAAACAGCGACCAAACTTGTTCTGTAAAAGATGATGGAATAAAAACACATGTCTTCACGTCTCCCAGATACAGAACATTCACAGATACATTTCTAGAGAGAGGTGTGGGCTGGGAATGGGGAGGGAACACCCTCTTTCCAGGCTTCTGGAAGCAGACTTTGTGATCTCTCAGGGTAAAGCTATGGGCTGAATGGGGGTATACAATGGGGCTGGAAAGAAGTGGGGAGAAAAAGGCTCCAAGGCCCCAGCTTCTTAAACATAGAAGTTAGATTCTCCATTCCTCCCCATTAGCCTGACGACCGACCCCCCCACCACGCCCCAATGCAGATCAAGCTACCCAAAGACCAAGCCCCCAGAGGATCCTGATTCATTGTGAAGGCTGCCGTGCTACCGTCCAGACTGCTGGGATGGTCAGTGGGCCTGTTGGGGCACTAGATGGAAGAGCTGATGTGAATCAAAGCCCTCAAGAGGGTTTGTTCCTGCTGGTCCCCCTAGCACCAGGCAGCATCTGCAGCATCTAAGACACGGCTCAGTCTCAAAGGGCCTCCCGAGGTAGCAGCATCACTTCTGTAGCTGGGAGATGACCAAGATTCGAGGAGTTGGTGTAGGCATCCACGACACCTAATTCAACATCCAACACAAGTCTAAAGTACTCAGAAGTTTCCTTTTCAGGGGTCCTGGGACAATACGGTGGGATCTTTTGGCTAATCCTGGGCCTGAGGGCCAGGACTCTAGCAGTATCCTGGGTGCTTAAGCAAGCCAAGCCTCATGCTGTCGGTCTTAGGCAACCTTATCACTTAGTCTCTGGGGAAGGGCAGCCCCAGAGAGCAGCTACCAGCTGAGTTTCCCATCAGAGGAGCAAACCAAGATTCTGGCTTGGAGAGCTCAGATTACATTGGGCTTGCTCTCTAGTGTATGCTTAGGCTTTCCACCCCACAGCCTAGACTCTCTCTATTTCAGGTAATATCACAACTCATTCTGGGAAAATTCATAGGTCCTCAAATGCTAGTCCTAAGGACTTCTCTGACTTCAGGGTCAGATGTCACATCCTTGGGATGTTCTTGGAGCAAGGCACATGTGCTACATATGTGTTAACCATCCTATATGCTCCATCAGGGCCTTCAGATGCCTGGCTGCACGGGTTCTCATCTGAGAGGAAGAGACAGGACTTCGCAGCGAGCACGGGATGAAGCCTTGTTCTCTGTGGCAATGGAAGACGGGGTGAGAGAAGAGGGTCAGAGGGCAGAGATGGCTGGAGCCATACAGCTGCTTAAGCAAGTATATGAGAGGGGACCCTCATCCCAGGGATCCCGGCCGAGGCCTCCTATTCTGGTTCTGCAGGATTTAGCTCAGATGTCTGCTGGTTGGGCGGAGGGCAGCACGCTCGTGATGTTGAACTGGGAAGTGAGGCCTGTGTGTCCCAGTCTCCCAGATGGGAAGCCCAGCAGGCAGCCAAGGAAAGACCACAGGAAGAAGAGCCAGATGAGTGCTACAGGACCTGCCCTGGCTGGATGCACCATCCCCAGCCTCCTTGTGGGGCTCTGACCTCCGTGTTCGAGACTAGGGATGTCCTCCTCTGGCTACAAAGACCCTTGTGGCTGGGATCACTACAGAGTCTCCAGGCCACAGGAAGACAGCATGCTAGGGCCCCTGGAGGGAGAAAAGAACCCAAAGCAAGTTAACCTGGAAGGCAAGAACCAGTCAAGGGCTGATAAACCTTGCTGGTTCCTTACACAGATCCTGCCGGCAGAAGCAGAGGAGGATCTTTGTCACCTGATAAAGGACAGAGGCTCTGGGTATCTCTAGGCAGGCCTGCTGCTGCAGGGAACTCAGGACCCTTCAGCACACGCACAAAGAAGCACTTTCACTTCCACAATCACTTTGCCGCCACAGTCCTCACCACGTTCCAGTCTCTCACATGCTCCACCCTGGCTCTCACACATACTGTTCCCAGGCCCCGGCACTGCCTCATTCTTGGTGTGGAGTGGCCTGAGAAGCTGCTCTGATTCTCAGCGACGCCCTTCTCAGTCCTCACTTTACTCTTCTCTATGATCTCCGCCCTTGGCTCTTGCAGGACCATTCCATGTTCCCAAGCTCTCCTCTTGAATGTTAGAACACTCTCTGCTGCTTCTGCAGGGGCCTGCCTACCTCTGTCTTCACACACATAGCAAGGAACCCCAGCACAACTGCCCATACTATTGTCCGAAGTGCCTACCCAGAGAGGCAGGGGTATATCTCACTGGAGGGGAAAACCCTGGAACCCTGGTGACGAGGTTCAACCTTTGAGGAAGTCCTCAAGGTCCCAGGCCTTGGAAGCACCTTTTCTGGCCCTATCCCAGAAACAGAGGAAAGATGGTGGCTAGGGGTCCACATGGCCCAGAAGCTAAAGGAAGTATGATGAGGTTGTGGTCAAGGTGTAGCTTTCCAGGCCGGATCCCATCCCTAAGCCAAACCTACCATCCCTCCCTAGCTGTATTTCCTTCAAGGCAGGGAGCCCTTGGACCACTATGGAAGAAAGGGACAGAATCAGGACTTGGTGGGGGCGGGGGTGTATAAGAACAGACAGCATATGCATCTGATCAGACAGGCAAAGAGAATTCCTGCTGGATCCATTCTCCTAGGCCGGTGGCCCTGTAATTCAGTAGGAAGCTGGGACAAGCCCGAGGGTAGATGGGTTCCAACAGCAGCCAGAGGATCTTACAGAGAAGTAGGATCGATCAGAGATGCCACCCACATCCTTTTGCCATTCTGCAGACTCCTTAACGGGGACTACTTGTGGCCATCTGGTCCCACAACACCTCAGGTTGAAAGTGGGCTCTGCTGTGCCTTCCACGAGGAAGATGGGGGCATGGCAGAGTTGGGACAAAGGACCTGTGTAAAGTGGAGGACAAAGTGAAGAGCATGTTCGGCAGGGAAGACAAGACACACTACTCAAAGGAGAGCAGGTCCGGGTGAAGGCCCTCGTGGTCAAGACTGGAGGTCCGTGCCCGTGGAGGCGGGCTGCTGTTCTCCCAGGACTCAGCCAGGCTGCTGATGGGGCTCAAGCTGAGTTTGAGGCCATTCCTCTCAATGGGGCCAGGGGAGGAGCCTTTTCTGCACTCAGTTGCCTTTAGCTTGGATTCCTCCTGGCTGTTCTTGTGTATTAGGTCAGGTACCAAGAGGGGCACCTCACCGTTGGGCAGAGCCTCTCCCTTATCTCGCATTTCAACGGTAGACTCTGGCCTCGAAGTATCTCCAGAGACAGGCTGAGCAGTGGGTGGAGAGTCCTGGGCCTGCCCAGGTGACAGTTCTGTCCCATATTCGAGACTGCTTAGGACGGGCTGCGATGAAATCAGCATGTCCTGGGTGGTCTTCAGGGCCCGAGGGGTTCGCTTCCGGGTTATGGGAGGTGGAGGATCCAGCAGAGGGAAGGCTTCTTGGACTGACCTGCAGGACCGTGAGAATAAGCATCCAGGCTTTATGATGGCGAGACACTAATCTATACACATTCTCAATTCTCTACTCCAACTGCCCCTTCACTGCCCCCCACCCCCACCCCAGGTCATGCTTCCTCTGCTGAGTGCTCATTCTGGGTTTAGGGTGCAGATTTTTAGCAACTTCAGCACAATTAGTTATGGGGCTGTTCCCTCCTCATTCAGTGCTCAGAGTGGCACCAAGTGCTGCCTCTGTGAGGCTGGATAAAGATCCCAGTCATCTCAGATCCCAAGTCCCATTAAAGGGCACATGAGCTCTGGGCATAGGTGTTGGAATCAAGGCCCAGAAAGGAGCTGTTGGATGGAAACGGAAGTAGCTGTAGCAGGTTTCTCCCTTCCTACCAGGCACTCAGTCTACAGCAGCAGTTCCCAGGAATGGCTGGCATCAGAACCCATGTCGGAAGTTTCTGGGCAAGACCAGGGTTCAAACTCAGTTCCAAATACCAAGAGGCACAGCTACTTCTCTGAACTTGGGTTATTTGCAAATGAAAATAAATTTAAACCTGGCATGGTGGCTCCCAGCTCTAATCCCAGGAAAGCCAAGACAGGAGAATTGCCCTGACTTTGAGGTCAGCTTGGGCTGGACTGTGAGTTCCGGGCTAGCCTGGGTTACAGTGTGACACAATGCCCAGGCCGGAAGCACTTCTCTGGTTGTGGAGGCTGAAGTGGACTCTCATCAACACAGGCCTATCTCTCTCCGTTTTTCTCCACAATTGCTCATCCCCTCCTTGGGTCTGTTCCCTCCTGAACTCAGTGTAGTTTGTCCATGTTCCTACGTCTTCGAGTGGGACAAGGGACTGATGAGAAGACACACCTTTCATCCTCCAGCCAGGCTCCACAGGCCACATCCTCCCCACCAGGCAGCTGGGCCCCAACAGTCTTGTTAATCTCCATCACACCCACACTGCCCAGGCTTGAGGACTCCTTTCTTCTCAGGAGGTCATTGACCTTGGCCCCCATGGCTTTGCCCAGGTTCTTAAGGTGCTGGCTGCTGCCCACCCTCAGTCCTGGTCCTCCTGGCTCTGCAGAGCCAGGGGTGACGGAGCTTGGGGCCGCAGATCTGGACAGGTGGGGGAAGGAACGGCTGGGTTGGAGCTTGGGAGTGAGGGCTGTGTTCAAATTCTCGAACATGCTGTGGTCAACTATGAACAAAGGAGAGAGGAGACAGGTAAGTGGAGGGGAGCAGGACCCTGGACTGTGCCACTCAGCTTCCCTTCTTTTATAGCACACTCATCACACTCACAAAGCTTTGGAAGCTTCTAGTGAAGATGCTTTTAAACTTTGCAGGGTAGTTTTTGGGGATAGGACATGAGACCAAAAATCCCAGTTGTTGCCCACCCTGGTTAATCAGTGACTGACTCCAGTCGTAAAAAGTCAGGCGTGTTCCTTTAAACCAGCCTCCTTGACTCGTGGCTTGACTTCTTTGGCCTTAAGGGCACCAGGCCCTTTGAAACAGAGAGAAAATGAGGATGGAACAATGGAATGTGACATGTTTACACTGTGCTCTCTGTCTCAGGCACTGGAAACAGGGCCTGCTGCAGGAAGGGCAGACAGGGATCTGTGTTGGGAGCTCCCTACTGAAAGCCACATGTGTGGCACATTCTCCCCATGGGGTATGAGCCAGCAGCTCCTCAAGTCTTCTGGAGTGGAACTTGGGAGAGTAGGTAAGCTTGTGGACACAGGGGCCAGACAGTCAATCAGACCCAGTGTGTGCCACATGGACAGGGCCTTGCTTCCAGTGAAGTACAAATGTCCTGACAAACCCCTGCCCACTTGTCCCCATGAGAACCTATTAAAGGAGCTCATTAGACCAGGGAGAGGCGCAGAGTAGTGACTGCAGGCCTGGCATCACATCACTAGCTGTGGGTTGGCTAGAATCAGCCCATTGTGGGTGGTGCCATCCCTGAGCTTGTAGTCCTGGGTTCTATAAGAAAGCAGGCCGAGCAAGCCGCAGGGAACAATCCAGTAAGCAGCACCCCTCCATGGCCTCTGCATCAGCTCCTACCTCCAGTTTCCTGCCCTGTTTGAGTTCCCGTCCTGACTTCCTTCAGTGATGGTCTATGGATGTGAAAGCACAAGCTAAATAAACTCCTTCCTCCTCAATTTGCTTTTGGTCATGGTGTTTCATCACAGCAATGGTAACCCTGACTAGGACATGCTGACACCTGGGCATCCATATTCTCTCTGAAAATTCATCTAGGTCATCAAAATAACCAGACTTTGAGCCTTAGCTGTCCATGGCCATTGTTCTAGCTTTGTTGTCTATCTGGATGAGGAGAGGTTGCATGTGGTCCCCGGGCTCCCATTGTCAATACGTCTGCTAAGGGTCTATCTCAGTAAACCTTTCCTAAGATTGCCTGAGGATAAGTCTTCATGTTCTGTCTCATTTGTCCTGCATTGCTGAGTTCCAGGCCAGGGGGAATGCTTTGCTTTCTGTGGTTTGAGTTGAGAAATCCCAACTGAATCAATCACCTAGATAACTTATATTGGACGGGTCCCTGGGTGGCAGAGAGAAAGCCATGGGAAGAAGAGTAGAACTCTCACCCATGGGTGACTTCCATAGTCTTCACCTCTGAGGTAGCCTTGACCCATGGGCACATTTTCTCATGGAATATGGGCTGTCAGCTCCTCAGGTCTCCTGGGGTGGAATTACTGTGTGGTGGGAGGGACATGCCAGGGAATTTGGGAGAAGTCCCGAGCAGCTTGGACTCCAGATGTGCACCTACCACACTGGCAGAGCCCTCAGTCTGCCCCACAGCTGCTCCTGACCATTCTCTTAGGAGTGTGTCTTGTCATGTCATCCACTTTGGCACAATTTGCCTATCGTGACCCAAATCCTTTCATTTTATTTACTCAGGCACTCTGCAAGCTAGCTGAGGTTATTTGGAAACTAATTTCACTATCCCTCTCCCCCTCTTCCATCCAGAAAGAGCACAGAACAGAAAGGAATTACAGGCAGTGCTCTATAGGTGTGTATTAGGTGCAGCAAGTTCTCCACTGTTTCCTGGGTCTCATAATTCTCTGGTGGTTTTTATAATGTCAGAGCAAGCACACTCATTTTAAAAGGCAGAAACACTAAAACTGCCCATCAATGTGATTCATAAATCATGGGCGCCTATTACTTCCAAAGCACACCTTTAACAAACAACTTAGATGATGACTCATTTGGATTTTCTGTACTTCTCTACTTTTTATAATATAGCCTGTGAAAGATGCTAAATTCCTCAGCAATTTGAAGTCTATTCTATGCTTTCTTTTTCATTACCTCAGTTTTCCTGGGAAGTACACCTGGTCTATATAACGTAAGGGGAAGATCCTTGGAAGGGGTTATAGAATCTTAAGAGTGCCTTTATTATCCACAAGGCCTTGCATAACAATAAGCGTTTAATAAATCAGTTTAATTGAATTTGACTTTTATGTGAATTCTTAAAAAAAAAAAAAACCAAACCCATCTCAACTATGGGTTGAGAGTATGAGGCAGTCACTCAAGCTGTCTCTAGACTTATGACTCCAGTCTCAGAAAGCACTCAAGCCCTCTCTGTGGCAGTGTTTCCAAAGGCTTGTGAGTTCAGGCTAGGAAACATTGTCTTCTCTGTAAAGCTGGCCTCTGTAGTCCCCACAGTGAGTCCCTTTCCTGCTAATGAGCCTCTCACACTCTGTCCCTTCAGCCCCGGGACTAGCCTTGGCGACTGAGAGAACAATGGTGAACGTGTGAAAGATGACTGGATCCCAGCTGGGAAGCCCTCCCAGCAGCACCCCACAACATGCACATACTCAAGCGGAGGGGGACATTTGGGAAAATACGTCATCCACGAGGAAGAGGGGATCTTACCTGTCCGAGAAAAGGACTCGAAAGGCAGGTGGGGAACAAATGAGAGAAAGACACATTTATGTAGTGACCAACCACTGTGAGAGAGGTTATCTCCTGTTTGAGCCATCAGCAACAACCCACGAAAAAGGCTGTGCCACAAACCTTTTTAGCAAACTGTGCAAAGACCGAGTTCCCACAAACTCTCCAATAGCTAAATCAAAACAACCAAAAGCCAGCCTTCCCAATTTCCCTCCGGACATTTTGGGCCCCCTTTACAAGAATTCTATCTACCTAGTTAGTAACAGAAGCACTTCTAAGCCCAGTGGACCCTGTGCATATAGCTCACATCTTTGCTCCTTTCACACGTAAACTACTACATTGCAGCCAGGAAGACATTCATGCATACACTCTAACTCAGTCTAAAGGAACAGCACTAAAACCAAGTGGCAGAGGCTGCCCACCACACAGGCAACTGATGGAGAAGGGGATTCAAAATCATGGAGCCCGACTCTCAGACCCACAAGCTTTGTTTACACCATGGTGACCCAAGGGAAATGGCCAACAACCTTAGAGCCACCAAAACATTAATGTTAATTTACACTGTAAACATTCTAGCAGTCTAAACCAACCATGGGCAGAAACAGGAGGGAAATTAGGTTCCTCCACTCCTTCAAATGTTCAAGGAGCTGGGAATAAATGCTCAGACATGCTCTACAAGATTGGCCAGAGTTGGGAGTTGAGGACAGGACTATTTTTTGCAGCCAAGGTAAACACATCACCATTTACATCTAAAGCACGTCTACGTATCTAAGTTGATGGGCTTTGATGATGTCCAGAATGGGACACCTGAATCTCCTCTTTTAAGGGTCACAATCACCTTTCATTCTTATTCCTCATCCTCCTAAGGTGCCAGGTTGTTATATGGGAAAGGACGGCAGAGAGACAAAGCAGCCCCAGAGTCCACAGTCTAGTCAGCACACCGCCTTAATAAGCAAAGCAGGATGGAGGAGGCCACTTGCCTAAAAGAGCACCAACAATTAGAAACAAGAGCTGACCCCTAAGCTTAGGAAATATATATTGAAGTGTTTAGGTATAAAAGGATATAGGGGAACTTACCTCCAAATTGTTCAGAAAACAAGTAAACAAACAAAACACATTAACTGGGAATGTTGCTCAGTGGTAGAGTGCTTACCCAGCATGTATAACGCCTTGTGTTTCATCCCCAATCACACACATACATAGACAGACACACACATACACAGATGCACACACATACAAATACACACACATTCATGCATGCATACACACACATATGTACACACACATTATGGCTGGCGGAGGAACTGATAACACAATGGGATAAAAATGTTAAAACAGGAAGATCTAGCTACACAGTCTGTGGATGTTTCTTTACTAATTTTAAGTTTTGCACATTTTAGAAATTGAAATTGTTTCCCAAATGTGTCTCAAAAAGCATGCTCTAAACAATATGATCAGTAGAACAAAACAACACAAATATTCAGTGGTAGAGGCCAGGAAAATAGGAAGAAGAAAAGCAAGACAGTCACTCCCACCCAGAGGATGGAGGGTCCCAGACGTGGGAACACAGAAAAGTTGACACGCATAGAGAAATAGGGGACAAACACCACCACTGTTATGGCTCTATGATGTTCTTCCTTCTGCCTGGGCATTCTCAGCCAAGATGGGCCACTGAGGAATGACAAAAAAAGAAAAAAACTCCCGCCATTAGCTCCCCATCTGAAGTGTAGGTGGAGGAGACTTCCTGCCGTCCTGGGAGATACCTGTTCACTCCATCGATAGCTTCTTTTGCTACGCAGTGGCTCTTTAATTTCATGCAGTTCCATCCTGGGGCCATTTCCTGAGAGACTGGAGTTCTGCTTAGAAAGTTCTTGACTATGGCTATAATCTTAAAGTATATTTATGTTTCCTCTAGCAATTCCAGCATTTCTGGTTGTGACTGTCTCTGATTTACTCCGGAGACCTTTGCATGGGGTGAAAGACAATAGGTCTAATTGTATTCTTCCGCAGATGGGTGCACGGTTGCTAGAACTATTTGTATTTGCCCATTGTATGCTTTTGACACGTTTGTCAAAAACTAGGTGGCTACAGCTTTGCCAGTTTATTTCCAGCTCCCCTGTTTTATTAGTCTAACACCTGTGGAAATTATAATATTAAACAAGGGGACCCAACTCAGAAAGATGAAAAACTGGACATCTTTTTTTTTTTTTTTTTTTTTTAGGTGCAGATTCTAGTTTGTGATGTATATAGATGGGTGTAAAAGTGGGTAAAGCCAGTAGAAAACTAGAAAAAGAGACCCATAAATAATAAAAAGAGACGCTAAGGATAGTGGGAAAGGACAAAGGGCACATGTATGTCAACGTAGAAAGGTACTGGGAAAGGTTTGGGGCTTGGGAGGTTAGAGGCGGGTGGAGAAGGGAGGAGAATCTACTAAAACATACTTTGATAAAAAAAATTCTATAATGATGGCTAATCCTTTGTTATATCGATTCAAAAAATTTAAATTAAGGAAAAAGAAAACAAAAAAGCAGTTAAGTTTTTAAAAGGCGAAATCGTCTGGCATGCAAGACAACTACATCCATCTTTTAAACTCGTAACCCCACTGGCTAGTGGAATTGTGGGACCTTGTGATGTCAGCTGCATTCAGAATGTTTATTGTCCAGACAATCTGGCCAGCCTCCAGAGCAGGTGTGTGACCTCCATAGCTTGTGGTGGTCAGAACATGGAGAACTTCTCACTTCTCAGCGTCTCTAGACCTCGACTCTCTTCCTCTGCCCTGAGTGCTTTTCCTGACATTATGTCCTCACTTGCCACCAGCTTGCCAGGTAAATGCTGACGTCACCAGGACCACAAAGGTGGGGAATTCTGTTCATTAAACTTCTTTGAGTTGTGTTTAGAAAACATGATCTTGTCAGATCACACTATAGGATCATGATTGCTTGAGAAAGCCAAATAGTATAGGGGGAGAATATACGTTTTCAAAAGATTGCATTCCTAGTCAGCGTTGCTGACTATCTCTGGCAAGGGACAAATGGCAGCAGCATTTGTTGCCACATTTCTTTCCTCTAGAGCCAGCTTCTGTATGAAATCTTGAGGTGGTGATCTGTCTACACAGAGAGCTGGCTCTTGCATTAACTTGGTCTTAAACTGGAGAAAAAAAGCATTAGTTAGTGGCAGGTAGTAGGCTAACTGGTGAGCACAGGCAGGAACAAAGGTAGACACGTGAAGACTTGTCAACTGAGGTGTGACCCTAGCTCTTCAGTGTGACCATCATCTGGAAGCTGAGAGAGGCAGCTTCTCAGGCCTCCATCCCAGATCCAGTGATTCAGAGCAAGAGCCTCTAGGGGTTCCCATGCACACTGGAACTCAGCTGTGCTACTGTGGAAGTTCTCCTAAACATCCATTTGCCTCTACAGAGAACATTTTAAAATTTACCTCCTAAAAGCTTAGCTCTTGCCATGGAGTTCAAGGCAGATCGACTTTCTCCCAGACCTACTTGGTGGAGATCAAAGCCATAGCCTCATGCATGCTTGGCAAGTATTCTCCCACTGAGCTAACCCCCAACCCTAGATGGCCATAACCTTTCCATAACCTTTTCTTAAGTGAACTTGTCATCTGAGATTTAGTAGCTACTTCAGCATACAACATGCAGCAAAGGTCCACACACCCCCTCTGACTGAGGCCATGAGATGTTTCAACTGGAGAAGGTGGCTTGCTTCTCCTTCTCAAAGGGATCATGCAACTTGCCTATGTAAGCTGTGACCAGAGCTTCCATCTTGGAACCTGTGTCCCAGAGTCCCATGAAAAGGAAGTTACACATGATAAGCAGGACCATCAGGTGAGGGGTGGGCCAGGGAAAAAAAGTGTCATCCGAGCCAAGTCTTCAAAATAAGGTTGGAAATCAAGGCTTTCATTGTACTAGACATGACCTTTACTACTGCATCATGCCCCCGGCCTGGCCAAATCTTATAACCTGGTTCCCAGAGGACATTTTTTTAGGTTTGAAGAAACTGCCCCATCTATGACTTCCTGGGATACCACCTAGAACAGGCCTGCTTGTTTGACTCCAGAGGTCACTGTTTTGCATTAGTTTTGAGATCCCTAAACACACAGAAGGTAAACCTCTAAAGTATGTCTTGGAAGGTCCCCAAAAGAGGACTCCCAATCTTGCTCAGCTCACCACTGTATCTATAACCCAGACATTGTAAGGATAGAGGTACCCACTGAGGCTTCCGGCCCAGCTCAGGACCTGCCACCCCAGTACCAAAGCAATGCTCTCCAGCATGGGGTGCAGAACCAAGTGCCCTCACCAGGTGAGGCCTTCAACTCTGGGCAGGGATATGAGAGATGCTAAAAGAGGACAGGGACTGTACCCCTAAAGGGAGGGGTGTCTGCAAGTCCACTCACCACATGCTGCCTTTCCACCTGTGCCCCCTGTAGTAGAGGCCCACAAAGGCTTCTTGTCTTTTAGTCCTATCTGCCAAGCTCATGTGGAGGGCCAGTTTCTATCTGAGTAGTCTATGGAGTGATTAGAATGGGTACTGAGGCTGGAAAAGTTGTCAAGCCATTGGTGACAGAAAGATTACAGGTTGTCAGATGTCTACCTGTCCTTGCCTATCCTTAGAGAAGTCAGAAGTCAGGATTTCTTTACACAGGGCAGGTTCTGTCTTCTGCCAAGACACCCAATGGCTATTTTCACCAGCAGGAAAAGGACGCAGCAGGAATGGATGTCTTGGGCTGTTCTTCCCATCCCCTCATCATCTGTGGCCTCTCAGCCACCATCGAGGTGGAACACGGGTCTCCTGAGGTCGGGGCTGACTGCCTGCTTCTCCTGACTGCCTCCAGCCACTTCACTCTTCCTTCCCCTCAGCCCCAAACTCAGACCCTGCCCTTTCCTTTGCAGACTTGGGGAACGCCCAGAATGGGGAGCAGCTGAGGAGGAACTGTACCATCTACCGGCCCTGGTTTTCCCCTTACAGCTACTTCGTATGCACAGACAAAGAGAGCCACTTGGAGGCTTATGGGTTCCCAGAGGTGGACCGGGAAGAGGGCAGAGGCGACAACTGCCTTATTGAGGATGTGGCTGAGAGTGTCTGCTCCTCTTCCTCCTCCCAAGAGAACACGTACCCCAGGGAGGCCAACAAGAAATCCAAGCATGGTTTGGAGTCTATTACATCCCAGGACATCCTAATGGCTTCCAAGTGGCACCCAGCCCAACAGAATGGCTACAAGTGTGCGGCCTGCTGCCGCATGTACCCCACTCTGCACTCCCTCAAGAGCCACATCAAGGGGGGCTTCAAGGAGGGTTTCAGCTGCAAGGTATACTACCGCAAGCTCAAAACTCTCTGGGGCAAGGAGCAGAAGGCCCGGCCAGGAGAGAGGCTCTCCTTGGTCAGCTGCCAGGCCTTCAAGTAGTCTGCCGACACCTCAGGTAAATAGGGATGAGGCCTACTTATGCCTCTGGAGAGGTAACAATAAATTGAAGTTAGTCATAGTATTCTTCTGTCAAGTCTGGTCACCCTCCATCAGCTGCTCTTCTTGGTACCCAGCGAATCTTCATCACCCTCAATTATTAGTGGTTGCCTCGCAACACCAGACCCACCTCTTTGTCCTCCTTGCCCTCTCTCTCAAGGGAAACACCATACTTGAAGTTTGAGAATATCCTCTAAGTGGCCATTAAAGGAAGGTGCCCAGACTAGCAGTGGTGGCCTCCTCTGGGAATCAATAAGAGACACAATTCCTAGAACACACTTGAACCTACTCGGTCAGAAACTCTGGGGTAAGAGCCTGGTCAGCTGTACCATACTCAGCCTCCATGGTGAATCTGAGGCAATTCAGACGTAAAAAAAAACAAAAACAAACAAAAAAACCCCCCACTGCTCCAGGGTGCTGGTCTACAGGATCAGTCCTTGCCCACACTGAGGACAAAGGGCAGAGAAAGAATTCCTGTAGTTTGAAAGGCATCTTAGATACTAACCTTTTGAGGGAATTACACCTCTGGAGAGGACAACATAGCCATAAGCATAAGTCAGGAAAGAGACAAGGAGGGTGGGCCATCTCCACCACATGTACCATGACTACGCCCCAGAGTGGGTACGTCTTGCTGAAGCAGGCAGAATTATGCTTAACCCAGGGGATATATTTCCATGGCTGTTTTGAATCATGTCAAAATAGGCAGTTAATCATGTGATAACACTACATTCTGTCCCCACACAATGTACCAGGTGGACAGTCCTGATCCTGACTCTATTTCAACCAATCTGAAGCAGAAAGATGACTGGGCATTTCCTCTCGGGGCCTGGGTATCAACTGTCGCTTAGTCCTCCCCCACCCAACAGTGGGTCAGTGTGTACAGCTCCCTCCTGTTTTTCCCATGATACACGGTGACCCTTCCTGGAGCCTGACTTGATGGTTTAGCAGAGCTGCTTCTGTTTATCACTGTGTTGTCAAAATATCATGCACGAGTCTTATGTTTCGCCAGCATGAGCAATGCTGTGCTCAAATCCCTATCATTTAACATAGCATGAGAAGAACCCTGACCCTCCATCAAGCCCTGTTTATCACTGCTTTTTCTGTGACACACACCCCCCCCCCCCCCTTCTTAGCAAGAGTCCAGAGTCTATGTCAGGCTCAAGAACTGGGATTTGCAGGTCACAACCTGGCCACTCAGAAGCCAGGTGATCTCTAGGCAACCCGGACATCACTCACTAGATACCACGCCCCCCAAAGGGAGACATGACTGGTGAGCCTTTCTAGCACCCACTCTGTGTTTTTTACTTAGAAAAGCCCCTGAGCTCTGGAAGGTGGCTTTTTAACATGTGTAGTTGTGTATAGGTGTCATTTCCCTCTGATAGGGCTCCTCAGCAATACAGTGAGAAGCATGCACAGGAGAGGTCCTTCTTGGTTTCACACTGCCTGGGGAACCGGCTGGCTCCTAATCTGCTGCCAACCCCATGCTCCCTGCTCCAGGACCCCTGCATCACATGCCCCAAACAGCCAAGAGGAAAAGCAGCCACAGGGGCTGGAGAAGGGACCACAGCATGTGCTCAGTACTACCTGCGAGCATGTAGTATCTTCTCCCTAGGGACAGGAAGGTGCCTTCTACATTTTGCATTTAATACACCAAGGAAGCACACTAAAGTGCTGTACTATACCCGGGGGCAGTGTGAGCTGCGCTCTGCTGAGGTTTTTTATGATGTAATCTCCTATGCTCTCATGAAAGCGGCATGTGACATATACCATCCCAGTGTACAGGTGAGGAAACAGCCCGGTTCACCTCACTGTCAGAGGAGAATAGAGGGCACCTAAACCTGGTTCATGGCCTTTCCAGTCTTGCCTCTGCCTGGGCCTGACAAAGCACTAGGCTTGACAAGCGTCCTGCCTTAAAAAAAAAAAAAAGCTTGAAGTCCTAGTTTGGGGAACTCAGAAAAGTAAAGACTGCGTTGTGATGCCCATACTCCCACATGCCAGGGTTGATCTGTGAATCCTTGTTGCTGCAATACTTCTGGGAACATAGGAGGAGGAGCCTCTTTTGTTCTCTGTATGGACTTGGCTGTAATGGGCCCTTTTGGGCAACTACCAAATAGAAATCTCAGACACAGAGTTCAGAAGTCAGTGAAATTGTATGATTTTGATCTTAGTTACGGTAGAAACAATGGCGGTGTTTTCAATGCCCCAAATTCACTGCTACAACCCTCATGCTCCAGTGGTATCTGGAGTCTGAAAAAGAAACTGGGTGTAGGCTAGGGGATTGTGGTCTCTATTTTCACGGGGATGGATAATTCTTTGTTGAGGCTGTCCTATGTATGGTAGGATCCCTGATTTCCCCCCCCCCCCCCCGCCCCTCTACATGCCAAAAGCATCCATCCCCTAGTGATGAGAAATGAAGTATCGAGATACTGTCAAATGTCCCCCAGGGAAGCAAAATTATTTCCAGTTACTACCAGTGGACAGTCTAACCCTGCAGGGTTGGTCCATATGTCCTGCAACCAAGGATCCACTTTGCTCCTCTCCTCCAGGAGATGTGAATTCTTTCTCTACCGTGTGGACTGTATGCTGATGCTACCTGGCTTAGGAAGTGGGTGCAAGGGGAGGGGACAGAAGAGGCAGGTTAAACAGAAGAAGCAAGTGGAGACAATAGGAAAGCTTTTAGAAATAAGAAAGGTTTATTTAGCAAAAGCCACTAACTAGTGACAACATCCAGGGAGTAAGTGCACTTACATTAACAGAATCGTTTCCCAGAGAGCTGATCCAACAGCTAATGACGCAATGGTTTTAGGAAGCAGAGGGAGGGGAGGGGAAAGCAGTCAAGCAAAGAGAATAAATAAAGGAATACAACTCATAAACAAGGTCAGCTGAGAGGAGCGAGGCGCAGACAGGTTTTTACAGACAGCATCAATAGAAGCAGGGATCCAAGGAATATAGCTTTCAGTTCCCATACGCAGTCCATCCTGTGCAGAGAAATTCTGTCCTGCCTCTGCAACTGCGAAGCCTTGGATGCCCAAGAGCTTTCTGGCACCTGAGGCAGGCTTCAATAAGGAGCCCCTGGTGTCCATGTGTCCTCCAGATAGGGCAGAATAGAAGGAAGGAGAAAGGCAGAGTTGAGTTAGCAAAGCAAGAAGCAAGGAAGGTGGAGGATGTTGCTGGGAAGTCAGGTCCGCAATATTCCCTGTGCTGTCCATTGGCCTAAATAGAGGGTTGGTGGCTGCGGACCCCACAAGACCCCTAGATCCGTTCTTTGTGTCCCATCTCCACATACCAAGTGTGTACAGATTTGGGTCTTACTAGAGAGGATACCGGCACATGAAGGAATTCCCTAGAGAGGGCCTTAATCAGGGAAGGAGAGGGTCAAGGAAGGCAGAAATGAAGGCCAAAAGTCTTACACGAGTCTCAAGTCAGCAGCCATCTATTAACCAATCTCTCCATTCTTCCATCTCACATTCATTTCTTCTTTCCCTTCATAGGCTTTTAAAATACATCCTCTTTCCCACATACTTCTTTACTATCCCATAGTCCTTTCCACTCGCAGTCCATACACTTCCATTTGTCTCTGATTTTATCCTCGGCCCCTGTTCACAGGAAGTAGGCCTTGAGGAAACAGACCACCCGCCCTCTCCGATACACAAAAGCTTTGATCCAAAGGTCCTAGGTTCAAGGAACCCTGGGTTGGGATTGAGTCAGTTGCTGCCAGCTGCTTCTTCAATTTTGTGGACCTCACATCTCAAATTCTTCCTTCCTTGTGTATCTGGACCTCCTTCCAATGGTTAATTAAAAATTAACCAACAGAATCCTACCTCTTCAACTAAATGCCGAGTCGGAAAAGGATACAACGATATTGTGTATCCGAACACCCTGGAGATCTTTCGAGTCACTTCTCACAAGTCCAGAAGCATGTCCCTACTTCCCTCATACACACGCGTGTACACACACACACACACACACACACACACACACACACACACACACACCACCCCATCCTATTACCATCAACACCCTGATGCACTCGGGGGTAATAATGTAAAGCTATGTTAATTTCCTTTAACTTGACTGTTTAGTTAAAAGAAACTCCACTGTGACTATAAATAAGGACCATGCTTGCATTCAGATACATTTCAAAGCAAAGCTGGGGCTGAAGATCTCCATTTGGGCAGCTCCATCCTTATTAACTGACCCTCTGATAATACTGCAGTTTGGCCTATAGGATGACAATGAACACCCCCCACCCCCCAACCTCCGCCAATCATATGACTTTGAGTGTGTCTCAGCTATCTCTTCAGGAGTTGGAAAATCTATTCATCAGTTAAGGTCTTATGGGGTGAAGGGGGGAGCTTTTCTCATGAGCCTAGCCAGCCTATTATTGAGTGGAGATCCCTAGACAAGGCCTGGATGGTAAGAGATTAAAGTTGCACTTTTAATACCTGTGCTCAAGGCACGCACCTTCAGAGAGATGGGCTGGGGCGGCACAGCTGTGGTCCCTGATCTAAGTGGCAGTGATTCTGAAGGGTAGACAATCTCAGCCATCAGCTTGCATCCATTTCCATCTTTCTTTCTTTCTTTCTTTTCTTTCTTTCTTTCTTTCTTTCTTTCTTTCTTTCTTTCTTTCTTTCTCTCTCTCTCTCTCTCTCTCTCTCTCTCTCTCTCTCTCTCTCTCTCTCTCTCTCTCTCTTTCTTTCTTCCTTCCTTCCTTTCTTTTTCAGTAAATACCAATATAGCCCAGTGGAGGGAATAGGTACAGAGGTAAGGCAAGGGGGATCTGGGTCTCTGAGACTTGCACAGAGGCCTGGTACTATCAAAAAGGGGTATTAGGGCAGTTCTTAGCCTCATTTACATGAGCTGGGCTGCAGGCAGGAAATGGGTTGGGGCAGGGTTTCCAAACTGAAGAATCAGGCCTAAGTAAGCTGTAGCAGCAATGAGCTATCCTCCCCCTGGCCTCTCAACAGCAAGGTCCTGAACTGTCATAACACTCCTGGCTTCCTCAGAAGCAACACCCAACACCCAGCTAGAGAAAATTCCTAGTTTATTCACTGTGACTTGTGACTCCTCTCAACTCTATACTCAGGCATAGCCTCACTTTCCCAGCAGCCCAGGGCATCCAGCCTCTACAATCTCAGCCAGGGCCTGGGGAAGGAATTCTTCTATAGCTCAAGGGAGGGTTAGGCAACTTGTAGCATCCTGATATCCAAAACAATGAAGTACCTAAGAAGGTACCAATGGCTTCCCTTTATGGTCTGCACCACAGAGACAGGAGAGTGTGTGGGTCACTGAGGCATCACCAGATAGGTTGATTAGAACCTGACTATAGCAGTGGGAGCAGCAAGCCTTCCAGAACTGTGGACGGACCCTGTCCCAAGGTCCTAGGCTCTGGAACGCCCTGCTTCCACCCCCTCCAGTCATTAGCAGAGCGCAGGCGTTGATTCCTGTCTCTGGGAATCCAATTTCTGCCCCCATTTACCTTCTAAAGCAAAATCCTGACCCTCCTCCGAAGCCCTACACTCTCCGCCCTGGGTGTTATTCTCAGCCGTGCCTTCCCTGGGCATCCTCTGCCAGGGAACATTGGCATCATTGCTACCACCTCCACCAACTCCTTGCCCTGCACCTACACGGCGATCTCATCATCCAAACTGTCACCCAACTCCTGCCGCTGTAGCACATTGAGCAGGCGTGGCAGCTCCTCCTGGGACCATGAGTCACGCTCTTCACTGTCGTCCGTGTTGGACTCATACTCTGAGGCGATGCCTGACTCTCGGAACTTGATGAGCTCCAGGCCACCCAGGAGCGGCTCACCCTGCGCCATGGGCCGGGTATCCTCGGGTGGGAGGAAACGAAAGCACTCCAGCTTCACCAAGCAGTCACGCCTACCTAAGGGGCTGCCCGCTGAGTGGGCGAAGTCAGCCAAGCCGGCGCCCAGCAGCGGTGAGTGTAGGTCCTCCGGCTTAGGGGTGGTGGGTTCACAGAGCACAGGCAGGGCACCTGAGCGGAAGGTGATCTCCAACAAGCTGTCCTGGGAGCCCACTGCGGGGAGACAAGGGGCAAGGAGAGGCAGTGTTAGGCAAGGCTTCAAATGTGAGCTCATTCATTAACCCGTGTAGCTTGGAAAGGCCTGGTTCTGACAACGCCAGTCCCTGAAAGGGTCCTTCCTTGACTGACATTCTGTAGCACCCCTTGAGGGGTTTTACAGCTTAACCCAGCACTCCCTCCCTTCTGCCCTTGTAGGATGAGATGCACATGGCTGCCGGGGGACAGCTCTTAGAGACTTGAGAAGGCTACTGAATGCCCTGTAGTGGATTTGTGATGGGGGAAAGGTATCAACCCATCCACATTCCAAGCATGGGGTAACAGTGGAACCTTGTAAGAGGAATCAGGACAAGCAGTGATTTATACACAGTGGCTCACAGCTACACCTTTTAGACACTCAAGCCCTGACTCTGACTACTGCTGAGAAATCTCCATGGACTGGATTGTGTAATAGCTATGAGGGATAGCTTTAGGGAACTAATGGTATAGCTAGAAAAACATTCGATTTGCAATGGAGTCTAAGCGTGAGTCGAGGCTTCACTCACTCTTTGTTAATTGTGTGAGTCTGAGCTACTCACTAAGCCTCTCAGAACTGCGTTTCCTCAGTTGTGTAACAGTCACGACAGTGTCTACCACTACAGAGAATGAGCTACAGAGAATGAGCTTACACATTAAAAAACTTGATCACAACCACTTGCATGATAGCTGATCGGTAGGTATCTGTCAGCACACAGTCAACACAGACTTCATGCATGCCAGAACCCACCCATGGGCAAATTTAATGATGAAGGCCTAGAACTAGAATGCCTGTTACTTCCCAGTTCAGCTTGGAGGTGACTGGCATACAGGTAGCAAAGCATCTCAGACCAGGGGCCATACAGTCTACGGCCACAGTTACTCAGCATTTCTCTGTGCAACAGAGTAATGAATTACGTAGTGCAGAGAATCAATTACTAAAGAGTTTGCAGGTCCCCCAGAGTTCACAACATGATACCCCATATGGGCTCAGTACATTTTCATTGGGAAATCCCTCTAAGGAAAAATGGGCTTTCTTGGAATATAAAGTGACTGAGCTCGCTATAAGGAGAGAGTGGACAAATATGTAGCAGTGTCTCCTAGGGACCTTCAAGGTCAGGTCTGGGTAGCGCATAGCAGGCAGCCAAGATATACGCTGGCCCTGCAATTCTACAATGTATGAGCTGTACAGATAGTAACAATGATGCCTGTGTTCTGTTGAAATAGAAGGGCACCATCAAGGTTCCAAGCACAGCATTCCCAGGTTCATGGAAATAACTTCTTTCACACAGCCTGTCCACGGGGACAAAGGCTGGACGGGACCCCGGCTTACTGGCGTTCTGTCCTGACAGCTTCAGCTCCAGCTCCTGCACTTGCTTGACCAGCAGAGAGATGTGCTGGAGCATGTCCTTGTTCTGCAGCAGAAGCTGGTGCACTCGAGCCTGGGCCTCCAGCCTTGCCGCAGCCTCAGCAGCCAACTGATCCTTCAGCAAGTGTACCTGCAGAGAGGAGGAGGCAGGGAGACAGAGAGGAGGAGGGGCAAAGAAAAGAGAGGGACGTTACTACAAATGACAGCTGCCAAGGGATGGCCAGGACCAGAGATGCCCCTCTCCACGTTCAATTTGAGATGAAGAAACCCTGCACGGACAATTGGACACCTAGAACTTTGGAAAAGTAGCCGAGGAAAGACAGGCCACCTGCCCGGGGGACCTCTCTCTATGCTTCAAGGGCCATAATGTGTCGCTCAGGCACCACTTGGGGTCCCATGTCAAGTGCAAAATGTGGGAAAGACATTCTCACTTCCTGCGACGTCCGTGTCAATAAACTGCCCTCCATTCCTATTCTAAGAACTTATTTAGTCTCCCTTTTCAACTAGTGGCAACTCATGAAAGTTGGACCAATGGCTGTGGAGCCTGCATGGGACTGGACTAGGCCCTCTACATGGCAAGAGAATTGATAGCTTGATCTTCTTGGGAGGCCCCCTGGCGGTAGAATCAGAATCCATCCCTAGTGCATGAAGGGGCTTTGTGGAGCCCACTACCTGTGATGGGACACCTCATGCAGCCTTGAGGCAGGGGGAAGGGCTTGGACTTGCCTCTACTGGATGTGCCTCCACATGGGAGGCCTTGCCTTCTTATGGGAAGGGGAGTGGGGTTGGTTGGGGGAGGAGGCTGGGGGTGAGAGGAGGGAAGAGGGGGATCTTTGATGAGTGTGTAAAATGAATGAAAAAATTTTCTTAATTAAAAAAAAAAGAACTTATTTAGACCCAACACAGCACACTTTTCTAACTGCAATTTATTTGTTTTGAACAGGGTCTCGAAAATCCTAGTTGGCCTGGAACTAGCTCTATTGAGCAGGCTGGCCTTGAACTTGCAGTCACATTCTCGTTTCTGCCTCCCCAGTGCTGGGACTGCAGACATGTGGCATCACATCCAGCTTTACCTGTAGCTTTTCAAAAACAAAAGTAGCCAGGGATGGTGGAGTACATGTTGTAATCCTAACACTTGGGAAACAGAAGCAGGAGAATTTTGAGGCTGGTCCAGTCTAATAGCAACTTCCAAGCCAGTCAGAGCTACCTAGCAAGACCCTGTCTCAAAATCAATTAAAAAATAAAATGCAAAAGCTAATATGTTGACTAGACCATCACCACATGCCTTCTCCCTAGCCCATAATCGTTCCTTCTACTTTTCCTGCAGCAAAACACAGGAAGTAGAATTACATTGCTGTTAGTGAGCTGGTTGTAATAAAGCTTAGCTTCTCATATCTGGATACCAGCTTCTCTGTCTTTTATTCTCTGCTTATTCTCAATGGACACCCATAGAATCCCTGATTCCTCTTTGGAAGGGGTTAAATGTTTGTTGAATGACTAACATGTTGCTCTCCTGACAACCATATAAAGCTGACGTTGGTGCTCACAGTGAGCACTCATCATTCATAGCCTTCCTGTGGTACAGGGGTCAGCCATGGCACACTCAATAGGTTCTATACCAGCAGTGTTTACACACCCATTCCTGGTGTATAACCCTTGAATGGAGGTGAAGCCAGTGGAAGGAGATGGGGAAATCCTGGACTCTAACTTCAAGAAAATAGTCAGGAGGTCAGTATTCACACATATGTGGTTCTTGTACTAGGAAGTGGATCAGGAGGATTTTAAAGGCTCTTGAGAAAGGGCACGGATGAATTTCGTCACCTGGAACCAAGTCAGCCTATAGGGAACATGGGTTTCTTGGCCTCAAACCATGGTGTTGACGGCGCACCAGGGAGGGTGGGACGTGGGTTGGGAGAGAGCTGGAAGAGAGGAAGCCTCCATTGGTTCTTTCTCAGGAAAATGCTCCCCATTTCTGAAAGGCAGTATTCTCTACAAATTCACATTTTGCCGAGGCTGACCAAGGTACTTACAAGCCTCTGCATCTGCCTTCTTGGGACACAGTAAAAGAGAATTGTACTCTGGTACAGCGGATGCTTCCTTCGCTGCCCAGCTCTTAAGGCTTGGCCTTGCAGTTGGCTCAGTTTTGAACTGAGCAAGAGCATTAATGAGATTTGCCACCACTTTCCATTAGTGGGTCCTCAAGGTTGGGCTCATCCTTCCCCAGGGAGATGATGCTTAATGAATCTAAAGAAAAATCTGGCCTCCATAAAGGACTGCTAAGGACAGAACTCTTGCTTTGATCGGGATGTCGGCCTCCTTTGCTGTTTCATATTCCTAGGAGGGATCTGAAGAGGGATGAGACCAAGAAAAGAACTGTCAGTAACACTGTAACCTGGGGTTCTGATGTAAGGTAGGTAGGAAACCTGTAGCTTTCTTGGAAACAGAGGCATGGAGAAATTTCACCCAGGGGTCCCCTAAATCCTGCTGAATCTAAGGAATAGGGAAATGGCTGTGGGAAGCCCCCTCCTGTATCTCTACAGGACAGGCAAGCTCAAAACTGTACTTGCCAGTTACTATTTCTTACATGAAATAAGAGTATCAGTGAAAGGACTCTACCATCTATCTAATCACTCAGTAGATCTTTCATTTTCTACTTACTTTGGAATCAAATAGAAATATAAGACAGAAATACGGAGCATGGCTTTTCGGTGGATAAACAGAGCAGAGTCACGCACATCACTAATTAGCATCTGATACGGGCTTCCTACACACCTGCTACACCCTCAGGTACCAGCATCCCCAACAGAATAGACCATTAGGAAGCAAGCATGGAACTAGCAGCTGGGGTGCTGGAGTCTTTACTTACTCCTGAGACAACCAACTACAGGCAGTTTACTTTTCCCTGGGCCTCAGCTGCCGCATCTGTCAATGAAGAGGGCCAGCTAGGGCCTGAGATGGTCGATTCTGCCTTCAGACAGACCGTTGTAAACACTGGGGGCCACTTAAAAAAGTCCTCAGATCCTATGGTGACATCTGAGAATTAGGAAGGAGAATAAAAAAAGATGTTCCTTCCTACAGAAGTTGGAGGAGTATTGGAAGCTTCTTTGGCAGGTATCCAAGTTCCAAAGGTAGAGTGCCATCAACACCCTTGAATCCTATGCTCCTGGTGAAACCTATTGACATTAAGTGCCATGAGCAAATACCCCAGAGGGTAAGTGCCTCTTGTCCCAGATTACATCAGAATTTTACCTCTGCGAGTACAGAGCTGTATCATTTCAGATGTTTTTATGCTCCACGAGCACAGAAAAAATGCACTGCTGTCCCTGCCCACGCGGGCACTAATGAGCCTCCTGCCTCTGCAGCCATGTGGAGCGGCAGCAGGCATGAGGCTCAGACCTCAGCGCTGCAGAACTAAAACCAGGCCAAGTGGGGACAGCGCAGCTTAGAGTTCTCCAAACTCTAAGACCAAGTTTGTACAGACTTGGAGTGTTACAATGAGGTAGTGTTAGCTTCACCCTTGGTTTGGGCTCCATTTCTCAACTAGGACAGGAGTCAAAGATACCACCTTGTCCCCACCCCCGACACACACAAATCATGGATATTTATCTTTAGCATACTTTTCTTTCAGAGAATTGAACATTTCCCCCAAAACTGACCACCATACTTTCTGAAAAGGCAACTGTGGAATGTCTCCTCTCCAGAGCTATGGCACCTTGGGTACTGACTATTCCATTCAGACTAAGCCAGTGGCACAAACACAGCATCGTGGCACTACAGCCACATTTAGTGCTGGCATCCAGCTCTGCATCCCAATCCCAATATAATGTGTATTAACACCAACCCTGATCCCTCCAGCTCTGTACTACTTCCCCAGACTCTGACACTCAACCCTCAATCCACCCGCCGACCACTTTAGACCCTTGTCCCACTCACTCTCCGGCCTACTTGCCTGGACTCCAGCTCCTCCATCAGAAGTGGGGGCAGGGCCAGGCTGAAGTTAGGGAGTGAGTGGCAGGCACATGGAAATGGCAGTGGAGATAACCAGAGCAATTTGCCCTCCCCCCTTCCCCATACCAGATGACAGCAGAGGCAGGCAGTGCTGTCTCAGCATGCATATGCCAGGGACCTGGACAGGGCTGGGGACGGGGAGAAGCCACAAGGACAGACGCTACATAGAGGGCCAGGGTGGGGGTGCAGCGTGTTCTCAGCACTGTTTCTCTGAGCACAACACACAATACCACAAAGCATCCATAACAAATTACTTGTTCCTAAATAAGCAGAAGTAGCAACAGGCAGAGGAGATCTTTAAATAGTACCAATGAGCTTCACTATCATTTTCCCAAGAGCTAGGCTAGGGCTTGGCAAACTGTAAACATATCTGGCCCACTTAACTGCTGTCAGCCAGCCACAATCCTGGAGCCAGGCAGGCCCAGCATGCTGCTATGCAGGCACCAACTACATCCCAGGTACGATTCAAGGTGTGGCTATATTTTTTCATCCACACCCTTGAACTTCTGGTCTATGTGAAAGCAGAAGCTAATGCAGCCAGGCGAGCCTCATGCTGGGCTAGGGACTGGGGTAGTTCACTATTTACACACTGTAGAATGACCTGGAACTACTTAGGAGTTGGTTAACATCCTCTTTGCCCCTATGTGTTCAAGGCCAAGGGAGGCCTGTTCAAGACCAGCACTGAAGGAATTGAGGTGAGGCTGGAAGAGGTCTCGAGGTCTTAGAAAAAGTCACAGCAACATCAAAAAGAACTAAACATGGTCCTAAAGGCAACAGCCGAATCAGATTGGAGTGTGGGAGCAAATGCGATGAGGGGACATAAAGAATATAATAAGCAGCTTTAAGAGCACACATTATCTGCAAGAGATTGGGGCTTTACCTTTAGATTTTAAACTGAGAAGTGTTACAGGAGGGTTGGGGAGCTCAGAGAAAGGGAAATAATGTTCTCACCCCCAGCGCTAAGATGACAGTTACAGCTACTGAATTCTGGGGACTCCTGGTAGTTCAATGAAAGACCTTGCACTGTTCTAGCAGTAGTCTGATGGAACGAGTGAAAGCTGACTTCTCCAGAACTCATCAGTCCTGCAGAAGACCCAGGCATGCATGCTGCAGATGGCCTACTGCAGGTATGAGAAAGACGCCAGGATGACCTGTTATGAACCCACTTACATAACCGATTTTAGATGGAGATGATAACTGATATATAGATGATTATAACTGATTATAGATGGAGACCATGACAAAAAGTCCCTTGACAAAAATCCTACAGAGTCAGAAAGCTTGAAGAGGTTTATTTAAGACTGAGCCCACCTGCAGGACCAGGGAGCCAAGGGCCAGCTAAGAGGTACAGCTGTACCCTACTGCGTCCCTGGCAGTAAATGTAAGATGCAGATAAAAGGAAGGTGGTCAGAGACTGACCAAGGAGACTATGACAGAGACAGATAGAGGACTATGCTCAAAAAGCCATCAAGTGACCTTGAGTCTAGTTTGATCAGAAGATTAGAAGTCTACCACTCTACTCAAAGTCATTACTGCCCTATGGCGGCCTTTCATCAAATCACTACTTGAGCTGAGAGTCTAGCAGTTCACTGTCGGCTCTATCCGACAGATTCTGAGTGAATGAGAGGCTTGGACTGACCAGTCTGGGGAAATGCCTAGAACTTAGAGAAAGGCTCGTGAAACGGATCTGGAACACGACATTGTTCCCTTCCCTTTCCTGAGACTCACTGTCTTCCAAGGAGAGAGGCAATTAGAAGAGGGCAGGGCATGGATGTTTTGTTAAGACAGATACTTGCTATGCCAGAAAAACCGCTCTTAGGTTTGGTCCTGACCGAGGCAGACCCGTGGTAAGTTGCGGGTCTGACTGAGTCCTTCCTTCTACTGCCACAAAGCTGTGTGCAGATTCGACACTTGCAACTGGCTTCTCTTTAGTACTTAGCCGAGACATCAAATTCAGATGCCCTCTGCTCATAAAACACCATGAATATGCATCAGACCTACTCTTGGATAAATAATAATTACTTGGGAATTGATATGCTGAAAGAGAATTGTTTGGAGAATGGATCTGTATTCAATGGGAAACTTTGGGAAATGCTGAGCGTCTGGATGGGCCGGGGCTGAAACGCTCAGGCTTTGTATTACTGTCATCCCCCACACTGAGGAGGAGGAGATTCTCAGACTGCCATGCTGTCATTAGGATTCTTTCATTTGACAAAGAATGATATATTTTTTTTTTCCTCCAAGTATAAGAAGCCATTAGTGACATTCCCTTTTCTCTGTCCCTGTTTTGGAAACACCTGCAAATCCTCCCACCAGCACGGCACATCCTTTGGTTTCATAGTCAGATCTCCCACCCCAACAACGCCTCCACGGCTCTCTCTACTACCTTGGAGCATCATCCCACTGATTCCCCTCTCCTGAGATGTGGAGCAAAAGTGACCCACCAGGCAGGTGCCTCAGGTACAGCCAGTAGAGGCTGCATGACAAGAGAGCTCTTTCAGGCCAAGCCATAGCAGACTTTATTAAGGATAGGCTGCTGGATGCTTCCAGGGGATTCACTTCATCCAGGAGCCAGAGGAAGAGGAAGAAGAACACACAGAAGGATCAGTCAGTTCTCCCTGGAGGACTCTGTTCCCTGGACTGAACACAGAAAATCTCAGCACCCAGTCAAGCCTTAGCAGATTCAGGACGCTGGTGCACACAGTTGCCTTCACAGACAACTTTCGAACCATCCCATCCCATCCTCCTGATTACCTTCATCTCCCCACATAAGGCCTGATCCTGCCTGGCTCTGGCTTTAAACTTCAGCCTTTATGGACGCATGTGTGTTCACCATTCCCTGACTTGCCCGTAATCGAGAGAAGGCTCAGACTACTGAACTCCAAGGCAGTATGGATGACAGCGCCCTCCATGGACATCAGATAGAAGGGATCCCTGCTGAAAGCAGCAAGGGCAATCAGCTCAATCCTCTCCCACAAAGCAGCAACAGCCCAAACAGACTTCAGGGCACAAACTCCATCTGGATGCTAAGAGGCAGCCAGTTCTCAAATGGCTCAGATCATCTACCTAAAGTCCTGTAAGTTCATTGCTATTATAATGAATTCCTAATCAAATACTGTCTGGAATAAGTAGGTCACTAATGGAAGCTTGAGTGCCTGCTACAGTCAAGAGTGTTTGGGATGCCAGAGCAACAGTCTGTGCAAGGATGCTGGGCACAGATTTATACTTGGAGTTGTTTCTAAGACTTGTCATACCTGTCCAAAGGCATCCCTTCCCACCCCAAATACCAGGAAATAAGGTAGGAAAGGGAGGGAGGGACTGTGTACATCATTTTTCTTGGTAAGTTCAAGTCATTATCCAACAACGATCAGCCAAAGCCAGCCAAGCCTAACTCAGAGCGAGGGATACATGGGGAACCAATGTGTTTTTCCATTTTAACCATAGCCCCATCTGTCCCCCTCCCCTTTCGCCTCCTAGAACCCCGACAAGCAATGATCCAAGAGCATGAGCAATTCCTTAGAGCTCCCTAGGATTTAAACCTGCCCTGAGCCCCTTGCTAGGGAAGGTGCGTCAAGCCCATGAGAGTGGAGCCTGTGAAGAAGGGAGGAGGCTGAGGAGAACCTGGGCCACAGCCACTTGTGTCTGCTGCTGCTGCTGCTGGAGGAGCTGCTGGAGGAGCTGCATCTGGTGGTGAGTAGACAGGGGCGTCCCTGTGCCCAAGCCTGGTGGCTTTGAGGAAGAAGAAGAAGAAGAAGGAAGCAGCATGCGAGGTGAGGCGGTCAGCATGGGCTCCTGAGGATGGGGTGGGACCTGAGGAGAGAAGACAGAACATGACTCATAGGCAGAAGCCACCTCTGAGACCCCCGCTCTCATGGTAACAGTCGCGATGGGTACACGGGCAGAGGGGGAACCCGTGTGCTGGAGATGCTGTATCTTGAATGACGGAAGTAGCTCCAGAAGAAATGCTGGCACACCTGGGCATGGACCACAGAGCCAGGAAATTCTATCTCCATACCTTGGGAACATCGTTTGCCAGTAGGGTGGGAGACAGGCAGCTGATAAAATACTGTTTTGTTTTGTTTTTTTTTTAACCTCTCATTTCCAGTCATATACCTTTCTGATGAACTGGGGTTCTAGCTTTAGAATCTATGTCTGTACACACAGCTGCCTAACATGTCACTATGACAAGAAGAGGGAGATGGCCTCAGTTCTTCCCCGCACTGTCCTTGACTTCTGCTCCCGGGATCAGACGTTCCTCCCTCTCCCATCTCTTCTCACAGTGAAGGAAGGACATGTGGACACCACAACAAAGGACCCAGAGGGACCTCTGTTAGTTAGGTGACCACAGCTGCTATCTCTTTGTCCTGATGGACACTCTCACTCAGATGGCTCCTATAAGTCAGGGAGGTGGGTGTTGTTTCTGATGGCCCTGCTGGTCTTCAGACATGCAGGAAGAAGGCACCCAGGGACAAAGGCCTACTGCCCCTTGTAGAGAATTAATGGAGCAGCGGAGGAAACAGGACACAGGTGTTTCCTCATGAACTGGCCAAATCTAAGACGGAGGATGAAAAGTGCCAGCGAGCTTCCTGGGAACCCAAGGGTCAGGAACTTTCCTTTCCGATTTTATTTTTCTTAGTTTAGTTGCCTTCAGGTTTGAATTTAGTCTTGGGGCTTTGTGGGGCTTGTTTGTTTCCTGGATCATATCAGAAGCTCCCCTAAGCCTTAGTCATCCCACCTGTGGAATGCGAGGCTGGGGGTGATGAGGCCTGACTAATATGGTCTCAGTTTCTAACATGCAGTGAGCCAGATTCCAGACTCAGAGCTATTATCCAGGAGTTTTAAAGGCACACAACAACAGACTTTTTTTTTTTTTAGCTAAGTCACAGGATTACCTGTATCATATGGGTCTGTGGATGAGCCCTGCACAAATATCACGAGATGCTTTGGGTAGGGAGAAAAGGGCTAGAACATTGACGGAACCCCCAGGTGGGCGACACACTTCAGAAATGAGCTCCACACCACCCTCACATGTGTGCAGACAGGTGGAGGCTGAATCTTTGGAGGCAACGAACCCCACTCTAGCACCGACGGCCACTGTGCGGCAGAGCACTTCACACTGAAGCCGCAGCAGCAGCAGCGGGGAGCCGCGTGGTAACTGGTGACCCAAGGCTCCAGCTGTGACACAGCTTTGCTCTCAGAGGACCACACGTGAAGATCACCTACCGTCGAGTCTAGGTGGGAGCCTCCTTCCTTCCCTACAGCGTCCAGGTCTGTCACACCTCGGCTGAATTCGAGAACATCGTTCCCGGGGAGCGGGACCTCCACGGCGTCGATGTCGGTCTCCTCCGCGGTGGCCGTGGAGGCCCTCTCGGCTCCAGGGAGCTGGCGGCCTGCAGGGACAACGGGGCAGGGAACATGACATAAGGGACACTATTCCCTCTTTATTTTGTTAGTTCTCCGTTAGTCAAGCCCAGGCAGGCCGTGGGCTTCCTCTGACATTTTACACATCCTTTTGTTCGAGGACACGGATACACCTTTTCAACCCAGTACGCTACTTCTATTAATACCATTGTAAAGTTCAGAAACAAATGAACATTTCCTCAAGCTGGATGCAACAGCTTCACAGCCTGGTACATTTCTATCAGCAAGGTGTAGAGACTCTAGAAGAAAGGGCTAGGGCGGGGGCGGGGGCGGGGGCGGGGGCGGGCCCTGTCATCTCTTCTTCATCCCAGCTCAGACTCAGTTTCCCAGCCTAGGACTTACTCTCATAGTTCCACAGAGAATATTTTCTTAGGCTTATCACTATGTTTTGTTTTGGTGTTTTGAGATGGGAGGCTTCACTCTGTAGCCCAGGATAGCCCCGAACTCACTCTCTAGCCAAGGCTAGCCGCAAACCTATGCCTGTCTTCCTGTCTCTGCCTCCTGAGTGCTGGGATTACAGGCATGTGCCACCATGCTCCTCTAGGTTCACCACTATTATCTTCAAATACAATTTCTTAATTGTTTTTCGAGACCGAGCGGCAGCTAGAAAATAGAGCCGGGTGGTGATAGCAGGGTACATAGAGTGCTGATTTCCTAATGTTGGAGCTAGCCCAGACAACCAGCTGTCAGGCATGTATCTGCCTTGTGGACCAGTGGCTGTAAGTCCTTCCTATGCAGATATACCTGGCCATGTAGGGGAGCAAGCCCAGGATTTAGAGGTCAACAGTATGCTAGGTTTTCCTCCTACTGATCCATGAGCTGGGGAGATGGTCCTGCTGAGGAGATAAAGGCATTCGTGGGAAGGGTGGTCCCCACTGCAGCCTGCTGGGGCAGCAATTCTGATCCTTGGGAAGCTGGCAGACAGGGAGCCCAGGACTAGGCAGCCTAAGCATGGGGAGGGATCAAGGAAGGTTCAGCCTGAAGACAGACATTTGCCATAAGCACAGGTCAGAAAAGAACCCAGGGATAACCTCCAGGGGAAACTTCAACACTTAAGGAGGAGGCAGGAGGGCGGTCTTCAGGGGATGCTGAAAAGCAGATGGTAGAGACAAGGGTGAAAGGATGGGGATACTAGTCTAAAAACGGAGTCGGACAGACAGAAATAGAAAATACAATGTGGTTCTGGGGGGAGGGGGGCGAAAGATGGTGGAAAAACACAAAGGTATAGGTTTGTGGGGTGAGTAACCTGGAGCCCTAATGTAGAACACAGGACTCTGGATACCAATGTACATACTCAAGGTGTTTTTTCTTTTCTATCTTTCTTTTTAATTTATTTATTATGTATACAGTGTTCTGTCTGCATGTATGCCTGCATGCCAGAAGAGGGCGTCAGATCTCATTACAGATGGTTGTGAGCCACCATGTGGGTGCTGGGAATTGAACTCAGGACCCTTGGAAGAGCAGCCAGTGCTCTTAACCTCTGAGCCATCTCTCCAGCACCATACTCAAAGCTCAGAGTAGACTTTAGGTGTTCTTGCCAAATATACATAGGAGTCACATATGTATACATACATGTATATATTTTTGACTTTTTGAAGCTGGCCTTAAACTTTTTGGCAGCCTTTCTGTGTCAGCCTCCTGAATGCTAGGATTACAAGTGTGTGTCCCCATGCCTAGCTTTTTATTTACTTATTTATATCGCATTTACTTATTCATTTGTGTGTAGATGTGTGGGGTGAGCATGTGCCACGGTGCACCTGTGTAGGCCAGAAGGTAAGTTAGATCAATCATTTCTCTACTGCAGTGTGGGTTCCAGGGATTGAACTCTGGTTGTTAATCTTGGCAGCAAGCACCTTTACCTGCTGAGCTCTTTTGCTGGCCCCTAGCAGGTTTTATTTTGAGTGAGTCCTTCCAAAGGCTTCCCAGACTCTGCACATGCTGGACAGCTGCTACACGGGAGAAGGCATACTTCCAAGGAAACAGGATCTCTCCCAGGAAACCCTCTCCAGGAAGAGTCTGAGAGAGGGTATACTGTACAAACAGGCGATGAAGCTTTGAGCAGTGGCCCCACCGTGCTCTGAGCCTTGGGGATGGCCAAGGGTAGCTGTTGCCAAAAGATACAAGAGATATACCTCCCCCGCTGGCATAGGGAACAGGAGAAGGAGGAGGGAGAGAAGGAAGGCAGGCCACAGCAGCAGGGAAGGAGAGAGGAGGCACAAGCGTGTAAGTGAATAATAACATGAAAACCCCGGCGGAATCCCAAAGGGAGAGAGGCTGACATCAAAGAAGCCAGGGCAGCTTCCAGCACTTGCCCTTTTCCATTTCCAAGTGTAAATAAGTTTCCTCTGCACAATAAAGGGCCTGCCATCCCATCCCAGGCAAAGCTCCACTGGAAAGATAAACACTGCATTCAATGAAAAGCTCCCAAACACAGAAGCCAGATCCCCACAGGAAACCATCCGCTTTCCTCGGGACCTTCATAGGAAAATCCTTCTCGGGAGAGAAAGCAAATGAGAAAAGGAAAAACACGTTGCCAGCAGTTCATACACACCACGAAGGTGAGTGGAAAGTATAAAGGAAGTGACCAGGAGAAGGCAGTGAGCAGCCTTCCTGAAGAAGAGATTCCAACCCTAGATCCACACAGTATCTATTGACTGCTGACACTCAGGCACACTCAGCTTCATGGCCAGAGGAAAGCCAGATCAGTCACTCAGCTCATCCCTGTTGTGAACTACAGACCTCCAGAGCATCCGCTGCCCCTCCCACCCATTCCCTTGTGCATATGTTCCGGGTGCAGAACCCTAGCTACAGTGCTAGCCCCGAGAGAGCTTACTGTATACCGCACCGTGTGGGTTCATTCACCTGCATTCTCTCAGCAGCTCAGAGGAGACCTGGCATCCAATCTTTGGTTTGCTGGAGATCACTGAGTGGGCAAGGGTAGGGTCAGGATGAAAGTCCAACTACCCTGTGTAGCTAGCCTGCTGCCCTAGTGACCTCTCCACACCGCCTCTTCACTTCCATAACAGCTAACAGTCTGTGCTAAAGGGTCAGCCACCACACAACCCAGGCATCCGCCAAACGTTATTCCAGAGGGTGCTGTGAAGTTACTTTTAAAATTGCAATTAATATTTAAAGCGACAGACTT